TAAAGCCAGTATCTAACTCTTAAGCATTCCAGGCCAGATACTCACAAATGTAACTGAAAATAAACGACTCAGTGCAGTGAAGAGTAAGGTTAGGGCACTCAGATAAATAAGACCCCATATATGGCCTGCCCCTTCAATCTTCTCTCTCTCTCTCTGTGTCTCTCTCTCTTCTCTCTCCTCTCTCTCCTCTCTCTCTGTCTCTCTCTCTCTGTCTCTCTCTGTCTCTCTGTCTCTCTCTCTCCATTTCTTCAGAGAAACTAAATCTTCTCTCTCTCTCTGTCTCTCTCTCTCTCTCTCCCCTCTGCATAGCAAGTAAAGTACATTTATATTATATGTCAGACTTGATTCTAATTACCCAAGTATTTTCTCTGGCTGCTGGATTTGATAATTTTGGCTATTCTTTTTTTTTTTAAAAAATGTTTTTTTTTTTAAATTTTCATTTTATGGTGTGAGTGTTTTGCCTGCATAACAGCCAGTGCTCTTAACCAGTAAGCAATCTCTCTAGCTACCATGTTGGGTATTCTTAAGCCAGATATTTCTCTAACCAGATTTCTTCATAGATTTTAGCTGGCTTTTATATAATTATGTTTTTTTCTAAGTAAAGATGAAAGGCTAATGCAGGATTTAGCTTACTCCAAATGTAGATTCATAGGGTAGATAGGACTAATCTTTCTAAGAATCCATACCACCCATTGGAGGACTCTTAAATCATGTCATATCAACAGTATTGAACAGAGGGTAAGTGTGGAGGAAATAATCTTATAGAACTTAGACAAAGAGATGTCCTGGAAAAAGTTTACTTGTCAGAAGAAATGACAATTTTAGTGTTCAAGATTTGGATGAAGATATGTTTTAATGTATCCTTGGAGCAGTGGAGCTGGAAGTGACCTGGAAGCTTCCCCACTGAAGACTAGCTCTCATATTTTTATAGGATACTATGCAAGCTCTTAAGGGATAAAATCAATCAGTGATCTAACCCCAGCTTTAAAGCCTAATAACCACAACAATGACTGGCGCACTGAACTATATTGGTGCATAGTGACACTTTCATGTTTGGGCAAACAAACAACTATGTAATTGAACTTAAAGCTGCTCAGTGGGAGGGATCTCATATGTGGCACTGTAAACACAGTCAAATGCACATGGCTGGAAAGGTCATATATCCCAGAGAAAATCCTATTGTCTGTCACATCCTTAGACAAACACAATTTCTTATTGTATTCTAAATAGGAATCCTTATATTTACAGACAAATATACCAGTCACCACTCACCAGATGAAGACTATTACAGCGTTCCACAACTGGTCTCACACAGAGAATAAGTGTTTGTGAGATGTCAAGCTATAAGTGAAACATCTGCAATGGAACCTCTACACCTAAGTCTCATAGAGCACAGTGGAACAGGGAGTAGTGAAAATATTAATGCATCTCTGAACTCTCACCAGCAAAGCTCCTTTATGCAACAGAGGGTGACAAACACAGAAGGCCACAGCAGGCCAAAGTGTTGAGAATAAGAGACTGCAGAGTGTGTTTCCCTAAGACTCTTATACTAAACCTCATTCACCTATGGCTCAGGGGACTATTGCCGAAAAGATTGTAAGAGTCAGAGTTGGTGTATAACCTTAAGAAAACAAAGTCTTCTGGGTTTCTGGGAACTTACTCATATGAACTTAGAGCAATGGTGACAGCATGCATAAGACTAGTGCAAAGTTAAACCAGACATACAGAAACCCAGCATAGAACTGGGCAGTAGGCCCCAAACTTAGTCAAGGGACTATTGGCAGCTGATCACTGGTAAATGAGGAAGTGTTGGTCTTCTTTAACACCAACTAGCTAGCTAGTCTGTACAGATTTCAGTGGAGGAACTCACATTGAGGGACATCTGGATACACAAACTTGACTTGATGGCCCTTACTATGTATGACAGAAGGCATGAGATCCTGAGGATGGGACAAGGGGGATGCAGATAGGAGAGAGAGTCTAAATATGATTAAGATGTATGAAAGGCACAAAAAATCAAATATATTGAAAAATAAAAATAAAATGAAGACTTTGAACACCTATAAGTTAAAAAATCTTTGACTAGATGGCACAAATATAACGTTAACAGTGACAGCTTCAGGTTGTTTCTCTGAGCATTGGTCTTCTAAGCATTATAGAAACACACTTGATAATTGCATAACTGATAATCTGACAGAAATTTGACTTTCTCAAGGACATTTATTATTGAAGATTCAGATTTATAGATTCACATATGCTGTGTCCTCTCTGAACATTCAAGGATTGGTGAAGTTACAATAACGTCATATGCTGACCAAAGTCCTTCCTTGTTCTCAGGATGGGTGGGATCACTCTGTATGAAAATAAACCAGCCCTTCAAGAGCAGGAGATTGCATCCATTATTGCTTTTTCAAGAAATGACTCATTTGCTGGTCCAGTTCTCTTTAAAGAGAGATTTTCTATGTATATAAACTTGAAAGACTCTATTGGGCCTCTTAATGTTTTCATCATAATAAGAACAAAATGCTGTTGACAGAAATACAAATTTGAAAAAGCATTGTTGAAGAGTAAAGTGAAATTGAACATTTGTCTTCTTCATATTCAGATAATTGGATATTACTGGAAGTTTTTAAATGAAACAATTTTCTTGATTTTTCAATTGTATATTTTCTATAATTGGATGCTTTTGCAGTTTTGGATGCTTAACCTTAACCTAAACATGCAAAAAGTTACCTAGGGTGTATTTATCTTTCCTAGAAGCATGCTTGTCTACAAAAACAGGTTTATAATAGTTTTGCCCAAACATATAATGCATTCATTTTCATTTTTCTCTCCTTATGATCACTCCTTAACTGTCATCTTTCCATTGCTCCAATTGGAAATATATGCTATACAAATCAGTAAGTCTTTAAAATGTACTCTAAACTTGTATTCACTATTTCAATTCTTGGGCACTACTTTAAACTCTTCAATTAAACCATATTCAAGAGAGTGAAAGGAATGATGCTTATAAATGAAAAATGAGTAAAAGGAGCTGAAGAGTTTGAAGCTCCAGGACCATTGTGGTGATTATTATCTAACAATTGAAGGGCTGCTTTGGGGAAGAGCAATTAAAATTGGAAATACAGAGCCAATGGATAGGCAGACAGGGTAGCAGATTTCTAACAGGTTATTACAAAGATAGAATGGGTTTCCTGGAAATAGAACATGATCTCGCATAAGCTGATAGGAATACCTAATTCCACGATATTTAAGATGTTCCCAGAACTGAAGCTTCTTTTGTCTTTGTGTATATGCATGGTTCTTCACTCAAATTCCTCCATTGTTTAACTAGGTATTAAGCTACAGAAAGAAATATTGCTAGCTTCTGCTTACCTTTCCCTTCTCTTCACATCCCCAAAGAATATTCTACTTTAATATTGTAGTCACCTTGACAATCGAGGTGTCTATTTTAATAGTTTTCAGTAATTTTATATATAAGATGATGCAGCTGCTTCGGTGATAGAGTTACCATGGAAGACACTGCCCTAAATGAGAATTTATCTTGTTTATAATAAATTATAATTAATTATGGGAGGATATTATACATATAACAGCCATAAAAGGTTGAAAATATCAAGAAGGACAGTACTGAGGAATTCATCAGGCACAGTGTTTGCTTACTAATGGAACAACCTTCAGATGATGCAGCTGCTTCGGTGATAGAGTTACCATGGAAGACACTGCCCTAAATGAGAATTTATCTTGTTTATAATAAATTATAATTAATTATGGGAGGATATTATACATATAACAGCCATAAAAGGTTGAAAATATCAAGAAGGACAGTACTGAGGAATTCATCAGGCACAGTGTTTGCTTACTAATGGAACAACCTTCCAATCATGACATATACTTAAGGCTTTAAAAAATACATTATTTTAATGACTTAATACCCATTTCTTATAATAAAAAGTATTTATTTAAATACATTTTGTATATAGGTACTAGGTTGGGCATTTTCCATTTGTCGTCTTTTGTCTTAATAACACAGTAAAGTGTTGATAATATTTTTTCCATTCAATATATCAAGAAACTTAATAAAACCTCACTCAAGTTATATAGCAGAGAGACGACTTCAAATTTGACTACAAAGTTTGAGCTAGTCATCCATCCATGGTGTTCTGTTCTTTTGTAATCGTGGTTGCCTCTTTGTGATTTGCTATCTTCTTCCCTTGTTTTGCCCAGCATTCTCTTTGTTTGTTTGAGCAAGGTCTCTCTGTAGTACAAGCTGACATTGGAACTCACATAGACCAGACTAGCTTCAGTGTCTCAAGAGCCACCTAACCCTGCCTCCTGAGTGTTGGGACTAAGGTGTGCAACACCAGACTTGGCAGCATTCTAAATTCTAAAGAAAAGCTGCATCTAAATTATGATGTCATCTGCTAAATTTTCTTTAGATTTATAAAACCACATCAAAATATGCTCCTCCTTACTCTAGTTTTGTGTATCAACTAAGGCAGAGCACACAGATTGTTGTGAGGATTAATTTCTTGAACAGAAATATTTATCCAAAAATAATTACAGGAGCTAGTTAGGAGGTCAAGGTTCCTTGCTACCTTCTGTGATTGGGACATCCCTTGATTGACTAACCCCTGCCTAGTACAGAGCCACCTTCTTCATTGTTCCCTCTTCACAAAAGTTCTTTCCTATGCCCAAGTTCCCTAAGAACATTATTCATTTGGAAACAACAGATTCTGCCATCTTCTCAAGAGCTTATCCCTGAAATAAAACTGATTTTCTTCCAGCAGATTTCAACATCAAAACTGTTGGCTTTTGAACAGTGAGCTAATGTGTATAGGTCCAATAACAACTTGATGCATATAATGCAAATGTGATTATTTTATTTGCAATAGGCTTGCATGCAAACTAAAATTTTACTTTGTTTTTATAGGCATCCAAGTGACTGTCCATCTATTGAGCATTCAACTTATCACTCAAGCATTGAAAGTTATACTTACCTCGTTTATGAAGGAGAACACTGGCATGTCGACGTCCATTTCCATTTTCAACATAACAGGAATAATTCCCCAGGTCACCTTCTTCCACAGAGTCAACAATTAATGAGATAGAAACTTCTTGTTCTCCGAGATGTTCCTTAAGAATTCTAAAACATAAAGGAAAACGAAACAAAAAACCCCACACGAACATACACATACACATACATGAAAAAGAAAGAAATGTAGATGAATCTGATGAAAAATATCTACAGTCTGTGCTTCAGATTTGGGTATGAATTGATGTTATTTTAATTAAATTATATCATGCCCCTTTCATCTTCACTTCTGATGAAGAAGCTTGTCTTTGCAGAAGCTAATGAACTTGCAGTTAATTATCTCTCTTAGCAGGACAATCATGCTGTCATAATAAAGTGGTGAAAGAGACCTTGAAGAAAGTTTACAAATTGCTTTTCATTTAAGAAGAAATATGATATAAAGGTGAGATAAGTAATTCAAAAGCCTAAGCGCGAGGCTCAATTACAAAGTTTTTTTTTTTTAATGAAAACTAAAGGGAGGAAGAAAGTAAAGAAAATTTCTGTGTTGTTTTGACATTTCTATATCCCATTTTTTTCTAGAACTCTCCTCAAGCACATACAAAAACAGAGATAGCAAAAATTAAACAGTTTAGTTTTATGGTACTTATTTAATTTTAAAAATTCAAATAGTATGTGTAAATGACAAAAGTGAAAAATTAAATATGAAATATGGCAAAGGAGTATATTTAGTATATATTGGCGATTGTTCATGTGGACCTTGGAGATCAATCGGAACACTTTAAAGTGAGATATTGGTTTTTTTTTTCAGAAAGAAGATCTTACTAGAAATGATCTTCCATGAAAGTTTTATGTATTTTCATTTCCTATGGAAAAACATTTTCTTTTATGATCGTGATAAATTTAAAAAGTCTGGAAGTTTAAATGAAGAATCATGGTTTAAATCCTAACATTCATGCAGAAGAAGAAGTTTTAAATGAAAGAATGTTTAGGGATAATCATTATTTCTATTTGGATATCACAGTTATCTATGGGCATCCTTGCTTACTTATATTATGATTATAACTATTATGGTCCAAACATAATTTTCCTCAGCACTGAATACATTGATACTTAAATGAATAAATATGTAAGTGCATTGAAAAAATGGGTGAAGTACATTCTGTGGGGCTGGTAGGATTTGTTGGGGACATATTCTCTTGGTTTTTCATATTATTTGTGTTTTTGTGTTGCTGTTTGAGCACATGGATGTTTTTGGTTGGTTGTGTGTTTGGTAGGGAATTCTATTCTACCTTTGTTGATCTGAATTTTGGATCTCTTTATATTGTTCATTGAGTTTGGCTGATTTTTGCTCAGGTATGAAAATTTAGTTGGTGCGTGCTTCAGGTTCTTGCAGGGTATTAGGCTGGTCTGGATAGTTGGTGGGTCAGGGTAGTAGGCAGGCTGGTAGAAAAATTAAATGAATAAAAAAAATTTTTTTAGCTTATGTTTTATCCCCTCTCACAGCAAATATTAACTGTACGTGCTAAAAGAAGAAAAATTATTTTACCTAATGTCACTTTCCCAAACTCGATTTTCATCCAGATCTTCAATAAACTTTTCTCCTTTCATCCAGTAAATTAAAGGACTAACATCTCCACTGTACCCAAAGAAAGCTCTGCATGTTAGATTGGCTGAATCACCTGTGGAGACAAATGAAAAGAATTGATTCAAAATTAGTTATACTCACTTGTTTTGGACAAACTGACTGGTAAGAACTGAATCATTTCATGGACTTAATGAGATACCTAAGAGAATGATTGTTCAAGTATTTTTTATCTTTAGCAAGTTTATAAAATGTGTGATTTACACAGTGTGGTTTATTTAACAGAATGAGAGTTGTTTGAGAAGTTTAGAAGAAGATCATATGATTAATCTTCCAGCTAAGTTTACTGATACTTTCTCACCATTAGAAAGAGGTTACGAATTGTTGGGATGGAGCACAGAGGGGATAGATCCCTCTAAAGGCATTATATCAGACAGTACATATGAAGATGATTGCAGAATTTTATGGGACAGGTACACAATATTTCTCAGTCTTCAATGTGGGAAAAAGAAAAAGAACAGAATCTTTGCTTGGGAAAGAAAAACAAACATAACTCAAGAATTCCAAGACAGTGTTACTAAGCAATTTTAACTCCATAAGGAATATCATTTTTTAGCAAAGTAACAATACTTGGAACATTATATAAAAATAAATGAATAATACAATATAATAAATACTTCGAATTTGCATACTGTTACAGTAGCAAGAAAGACCCTGTAAGAGAAAACTTCTAATCAAGAGAATAAGGGAAGTCACAGGATCTATATTTGAGTGTGGATGTTCCAGTGCAGCCATAATGGGGGGGCACTCTTCTGTAAATAAACCCTTACCCTATGCTCTGTTAGCAAGCCCAATAAACTCCTTTGGATTAAAATTAAAAAAAAAAAACTGAGCTAATGGAAACCTTCATTATTCCAACAAAGTTGACCCCGTGTTGTCGAATCCTTTGGTCTTTGCTTTCTTATTCCTCTTGTTCCCTTAAATCTCATTGTGTATATATTTCTATATAACCAGCTTCAAGTTATTTCTGGAAAATGTGTTAAAATTACCTCCATTTGGAGTTAAAAAATTCTCCAGTGTGAGTGAATACTTAGCTTTCCAGTTGGGCCTATTCATTGACCTGGCCACAGAACCATCCCTGGAATGGGGATTCACCTTAAGCCAAGGTAAAAAGACAGGCAGAATAACTAGTGCTTTAATGGCCTAGTGAACTTTTCATGTCCTGAATTACCTCCCCTAGTACAGTAGTGTATTGGGCTTCAGACAGGTAACTTGGCACGTCTACCCCTTTTCTTCAGAAAAGCAGTACCTCCCACCATCGCTCTGTCTCTGTTCTAAGCATGGTTTCCCTGACATCTGGGACTGCCTCAACATTTTGGGTTTCTTTACTCTTTCTTTAAAGCTCTCCTCTTCACCATGTAGCTGCTAGTCTGCCATGGCATTTTCCTTCTCACCTCCATTCTCCTCCTCTTGGTAGCTGATGAGATTTACTGCTTTGCCTGCCTTAAGGGTCTTTATAAAATCTCTAATAAACGTGTGCTTAAGTTTTCCTTTGAGTTCATTTTAAAATTATTTCGTTAATGAGACTAAAATCCTTAAGACTGGGTCCTCATTTCCCCTGTATCATCACAGGTAAAAATCAGTGATATGTACTGTGGAGGTTAAGCTTTTTCTCTAAGGGATTTACTGCACCTAGAAATTTCTTTATGCTTAATGGTGAATACAGGTTGATTGGCTAACTGCTTTGATAAAGGAAATAGAACTTCTTGACCAAAAGGTAGAAGTAAATTTACTGACCCCAGTACTATGCTTATTGTAGGATGTTTTGTGTCATTTTACAAAAGCATGTTTACTCAAGCTTTAGTCAGTATTACACAACTGAAATATTCTAGCACTTACTACTTCTATGATTTTTTTCTGGCTTCAAGTGGGACTCAAAACTTGGAATGCGATAGGGGTTGAGTAAGAATCTACCTCAGTTACAGGGGTGTAAGCCCACCTAGGCATGGACAGTGAAAGCTGAAATGTGAGCCCCAGCGACATGTTTGTTGGCATCTAAAGTAAGCACTTTCTCAATTAGATGTAGGAATAAATCATAATAATAGCTCTAGAGAGTCCTAATAAATGTGATCATCAGGAGCCAGAAAGTTAGTTCCAGTGGACTAGAAGCCTTCAAACCAAGATATGAGTAGTAGTGGATGCCTTTTAAAATTGTGCTTAACACTGCTTCTATGACATAAGCTCAGAGAAAAGCAGAATGAATTCACCTGCCTTCTTTTCAAGAGCAGGCTTGAGTATTTGTGCACTTGTTTCTACACGTTCAACAACAAAAAGTTTCATTACTTAAAATAAATATCACTCTGTTTATTTTTGTCAATTGTACAAAAAATCATAAAACTTTTGTTCCAGTATTTAAATATCTTTATCATTACTTGTCTTTTTATATTTTCCACTAGATTCCTAACCGATTATGTTTCTATCTGTAGTAGTTATCATTGGTGAGAACCAGATCAGGGAAGACCAGAAAATGTCTACAAACATTTAAGAGTCAAAAATGAAGCCCCTGACAAGCTGAGTGGCTCAGACCTGTGATATAAGCACTAGGGAAATAGAAGTAGAAGAATTACAAGTTTGAGGAGGAGGCTATATAGTGCGATCAAGGCCAGCAAGGGCTATTGTATTTGGAGACACTGTCTTTAAAAAATCTAAGGGTTGAAGTTGTAGTTTAGTTGCAGAGTGCTTGTGTAACATGTTCAAAGCCCCGGGTTTGATCTTCAGCTCTATAAAAATGGAAAAAAGTTCTTTACTATTACTGTATGTACACAAATACTTGTAAATATTTTAATATTGAATTTCTCTCTCTTTTAGAGAAAACATATTACAAAAGATAAGAGAATATAAATTTTCTTGTTTAGAATTCAGACAGATTTGTTTAAAATTAAACAAAAATCATTGTGTTTTTTAGTCAAGGCCTTCATATGAGGGCAAGGCTGACTTTACACTTAGGATTCTCCTGCTACGGCTTTCCTAGTGCTTTTATTAAAAGTATGTGCCAGCGCACACACCTGCATTTGCATTTAAGCTTTTAGAAGAGCACTATTTTTTAGGCTACTTAAAAACCTTTTATGTCAAGGTAGTCATAATTCAATAACAAATCTCAAATCAGAATCAAGACATATAACTTGAAAAGGCACATGTCAGTAATTTATATGATCTGTTATTTGGGAGATCAAGTTTAAGTTGTGAGGTGGGATTTGATACCTGCATGAACGCATAGATAGAAATCTCCAGGGATTGCTCAATTTTATAATACAATTTCACTAAATGTGCAAACACAGATATTGATCATTCCATAAGCAACTCTGCTTGACATGCCTTAGTAGAGAGGCTCAGGGAAATTCTCACTGAAAGCAGACCTAAATTAGTCTCTCATATTACTCTTCTCTTTCCCCAGATAAACTAACTTTCCAGATCCCTAAATATGCATTTCCCCTTTCTTTAGGCTTTGTGTTGCTATACCTAGGAAATAATTCTTTCACTCATATAAGAATACGTTTTCTAGATGAAGAGTTACAGGAAATCAATGACTGCTGAGGAGACATAACCAGTTTTCTCTAGAGATGAGTTCCCTGATAGATTATCCAATCTCAAGCACCACTAAATTGATTCAGATTTTGTGTGTGTGTGTGTGTGTGTGTGTGTGTATGTATGTATGTATGTATGTATGCAATAATAAACAAAGAACATGTCATAAAATTGAGAGGGAGTTGGGGTTGTGGGAAGAAATGGAGAGGGAAGAGGGCAGGGTGAAAATGATGCAAATATGACACTAATATATGAAATTATCAAAAAAGCAAAAAGCCCAATGTTTTCTTTGCCATTGTGGTACACCTGGACTTTGACCTTTGCCTCCAGCTCTACTACTGATTACGTCTGTAGTGCTACAGGAGTCCCTAGGAAAATTCCACCCAAACTGAAATTAGGATTGTGTGGTTCAGAGAATGGAGCAGTGGAATCCATGCAAAGAATAAAGGATGATGAACGGTAGAGAAGAAAGAATATCAAAGATAGTAACTGACAGAAATTTGGAGATAATAAATAACTTCGTAGTGAAAGACGAAGTACATGGATGGTGGATGGTTGATGTAAAGGAGCACTGGAGTGGGGATAGATTATTGATGAGAAGCAGCTCTGATCTCCTGTGTAGGACATTTTGAAGAGCTGACATTCAAATTATTTAAGAACAGTGGCAATTTAGGAAAAGATTTTGAAGAGTGAATAAAAAAATCATATCTGCTTTCTTAAAAAAATGATTCACTTATAAATTGTGAAGTCGCAAAAGGGAATACATGCCTGGTACTGAAAAAAAATGTCAAAACCCATGGCTAGGGAAGTCATAGGCCCAAGGGGTGGATATGATTAAAACACATTGTGAAAGGAGATATACTGAGAAGGGTAGGGAAATGGACTGAGTGTGGGGGAAGATAGGACTAAGATACTTTGTATACATTTTTGAAAGCTTCAAAGGCTAAAAAAATAAATAAATACAGGAGGAATTTAAAGAAACAAAAAAGATCACTGTATTTTATAACGTTGGTTGGGATTAGAGATTATCAAAAATCACTATAAAGGTTCATTATTTTGGGATTACATAAGAAATAGTCACTGAAAATATCAGATTATTTGCATACAATTCACTTAAGGGATAAACCGATGTCTGTTACAAAAGTGGTTAACAGGGGCCATCTCGAAGCAGAGGATAGGAAGCTTGACAACACAGTTGGTAAAAAACATATTATTACTTTTGTAATCTATATGTGTCACTGTGGAGAGAGAGGAAGAAAAAGAGCGAGAGAAGGAGAAAGGGAGGGAGAGAGAGAGATTGAGATTCATTTGTAGGAGCTTCTAGATGCTTCTCAATATAGGAAGACAGAAAGTCAGTTTGATCTGTGCTTTTGTGATTTTTCACTGGTTTCTCTGAATTGTAGCAGTTTGTGTTATTGAACCAAAGGCCCCAGTCTACTTGTTGTACATAGCTCGGCTAGTAGACAAGTTCCTAGGAAGTCAGTCGAATCTTTCCTGAGGCACAGACAGTGA